TTTAGAAATCCCCCCTGAACGGCTATTTATAGATCGAAAAGCCGGACATGTCCAGGGAAATCCGGACGTATGGTAGCCCTATGTTTGTCCTCTGATCATTCTGACCTGTTCCTCCAATATTTTTATTTATTTATTTTACTTTCCAGCCTTGCTGCTGCTGTAACTGGACATCGTACTCCCTGTATTGTGTTTTTGAGATTCCTAGCCTGGTTTTTCCACCACGTCTTCTCTTAAGCTTTCTGACTAATTTGTTCCTGAACTCCTCCAATTTTATTTCTTGCCTCTTGCAAATTACAGGACAAGGAGGCATTTACTTACACCTTCCAATTGTTGTTTTAACTCTTTCCTTTGCTCTTTTTTTTGTTTCTCTTTCCTCTCTATCCTTTGAGTGTTTTACTGTGATTTTCTGGCTGCCAGCAAGGAGTTGGTTTTGTGCAGCCTGTTCTCGGCAGCCTGACTTTTTATCTTTGTTCTCCGGTTCTAACGTATTCAGACAACAAGCTATAAGCCCAGGAATTATTTTTACATTTTGCAGCCTGGACAAATAAAATATTCCCATTGGTAGGTGCGTATTTTTACTGTTTCTTGGTTTCCTTTTTAAACAACTTACAAACATATTTCCAAAGATGGCTTTTATTAATTGCTCTTTAGTGCAAATAAAGTAGCCCCTTGTTTAATAACATAATTTATTATAAAATTCTTTAGTGTTTTTCCTTTGTTAGCAAATATTTCTTAATCTCAAAAGATTAATACAGCACTATATAGAAAGAACAGATACTTGACCACCCCTGCAGATGGTTAAGAGAAGATAGGTGGAATGCTGATAGCATTCATCCCCAAACTAACTTTTCAACCCTCTTTTCTTTTTATAGGGTGAGGCATACAAAACCTCCTTTTGGAGGGAAAATACTTTCCCATGATTAATTTACTGTGTGATTTGTTTTTCTAATTACTGATGGATTTTTTAAGATTTTCAGTTTACTTGACTGATGATTAAAAAGGAATCTCTAACCCAGTCATTATTACTGACAGCTGTGACAATCAACAGTTCTTAATGAATTAAAAACATTTTTTCAATGGGATTTCCTCCATTACAGAACCCATCTTCAATAACAAGTATCCCTTATTAATCACCCAATTTTGTTTATAACAATACTTTTGTAAACACTTTTATTCGTTTGAGGGGTCTTTCCTTTAGACATCTATATTCCCACAGACTTGGAGCAACTCACAATAATGCAGTACAGTCCAATAAATGATCACACAAAGTTCCTGTATATAGGTCACTCACATGTTAAGAACCAACACTCTGGGCCTTGGAATGCAGACACGCTCTTTGTTAATGTTGTAAAAGATTCTGGGGGGAATAGTTAATATGCAAATGAATTTAATATACAAGGAAAAAAGGTTAATATTTACAAACAGGTAGTAGAATAATAGAATATCAGGAGGTCATCTAGTCCAACCCCCTGCTCAAAGCAGGACCAATCCCCAACTAAATCATTCCAGCTAGGGCTTTGTCAAGCCTGACCTTAAACCTCTAAGGAAGGAGATTCCGACACCTCCATAGGTAACCCATTCCAGTGCCCTCCTAGTGAAAAAGTTTTTCCTAATATCCAACCTAAACCTCCCCCACTGCAACTTGAGACCATTACTCCTTGTTCTGTCATCTGCTACCACTAAGATGAGTCTAGATGCATCCTCTTTGGAACCCCCTTTCAGGTAGTTGAAAGCAACTATCAAATCCTCGCATCATTCTTCTCTTCTGCAGACTAAACAATCCCAGTTCCCTCAGCCTCTCCTCATAAGTCATGTGCTCCAGCCCCCTAATCATTTTTGTTCCCTCTGCTGGACTCTCTCCAATTTTTCCACATCCTTCTTGTAATGTGGGGCCCAAAACTGGACACAGTACTCCAGATGAGGCCTCACCAATGCCCCTACTTATACAGCCCAAAATGCCGTTCGCCTTCCTGGCAACAAGAGCACACTGTTGATTCATATCCAGCTTCTTGTCCACTGTAACCTCTAGGTACTTTTCTGCAGAACTGCTGCCTAGCCACTCGGTCCCTAGTCTGTAGCAGTGCATGGGATTTTTCCATCCTTAGTGCAGGACTCTGCACTTGTCCTTGTTGAACCTCATCAGATTTCTTTTGGCCCAATCCTCTAATTTGTCTAGGTCCCTCTGTATCCTATCCCTACCCTTCAGCATATCTACCACTCCTCTCAGTTTAGTGTCATCTGCAAACTTGCTGAGGGTGCAATTCACGCCATCCTCCAGATCATTAATGAAGATATTGAACAAAACCGGCCCCTGGACCGACCCTTGGGGCACTCTACTTAATACCAGCTGCCAACTAGACATGGAGCCATTGATCACTACCCGTTGAGCCCGACGATCTAGCCAGCTTTCTATCCACCTTATAGTCCATTCATCCAGACCATACTTCTTTAACTTGCTGGCAAGAATATTGTGGGAGACCGTATCAAAAGCTTTGCTAAAGTCAAGGAATAACATGTCCACTGCTTTCCCCTCATCCACAGAGCCAGTTATCTCGTCATAGAAGGCAATTAGGTTAGTCAGGCATGACTTGCCCTTGGTGAATCCATGCTGACTGTTCCTGATCACTTTCCTCTCCTCTAAGTTCTTCAAAATTGATTCCTTGAGGATCTGCTCCATGATTTTTCCAGGGACTGAGGTGAGGCTGACTGGCCTGTAGTTCCCCGGATCCTCCTCCTTCCCTTTTTTTAAAGATGAGCACTACATTAGCCTTTTTCCAGTCATCCGGGACCTCCCCCAATTACCATGAGTTTTCAAAGATAATGGCCAATGGCTCTGCAATCCTTTAGCTCCTTCGGATGCAGTGCGTCCGGCCCCATGGACTTGTGCTCGTCCAGCTTTTCTAAATAGTCCTGAACTACTTCTTTCTCCACAGAGGGCTGGTCACCTCCCACCCATACTGTGCTGCTTAGTAGTAACAGCTTTGATTATCCTTCCATTTAATTTAAACTGAATCAACTTTTGATCACTCAACCCAAGGTTATTTCCTATGATCAGCTCTTCTATGATGTCCTTACTATTTACACAAAACAAATCTAAAATTGCATCACCTCTTGTTTGTTTGGTGACTGATGAAGAAAACTGCCATCTATCACCTCCAGGAACAAATGGGCCCTACTACTTATTAGTAGCATTTGTTTGTTAATCTATATCTGGAAAGTTAAAGTCTTCATTTATGATACAATTCCCAAAAGTATTTTTCTAATAATATAGCAATTTTTATCCATATCTAAGTTTGCCCATGTGGGTCTACAGCAGACCTCTAACACAGGGGTGGGCAAACTTTTTGGCCCGAGGGCCATATCGGGGAATAGAAATTGTATAGCGACCCATAAATGCTCACAAAATTGGGGTTAGGGTGTGGGAGGGAGTGCAGGCTCTGGGGTGGGGCTGGGGATGAGGAGTGTGCTCTGGGCTGGGACCAAGGGGTTTGGAGGGTGGGAGGGGGATCAGGGCTGGTGCGGGAAGGGGTGCAGGTTCTGGTTCTGGCTCTGGGGTGGGGCTGAGAGGTTTGGAGTGCAGGAGTGTGCTCCAGGCTGGGATCAAGGGGTTTGGAGAGCGCGAGGGGGATCAGGGCTGGGGCAGGGGGTTGGGGCATGGGGAGAGGCTCAGGGGGCTCCGAGTGGCGCTTACCTCAAACAGCTTCCAGAAGCAGTGGCATGTCCCTTCTCTGGCTCCTATGTGGAGATGTGGCCAGGTGGCTCTGCGCACTGCCCCGTCTGCAGGCACCACCCTTATAGCTCCCATTGGAGCGCGTAAGAACCAGGGTGGGGCCATGCCCTGGTGTCCGGGAGCCATGCGGTGTGGCCCCGACCCAGCACCCTGGCTGGAGCGCCGGAGCGGGGATGAGCCGCGTGGTGTGGCCCCCGACCCAGCGCTCAGGCCGGAGCAAGGTGTGGAGCGTGGTGCGGCTTGCAGGCCAGCTTAAAACGGCTCGTGGGCTGTAGTTTGCCCACCCCTGCTCTAACACTATCCCAACAGACAGATCCTCTTTTGCCGTACTCCCCGAAGGTGATTTTGACCCCAACCGATTCGGTTTTGACCATACTACCACTTCTTATTTCTTTAGTTGATGTACAATGCTACCCTGCCACCTTTCTGTTTATTCCTCTCTCTCCTAAACAGCATATACTTTCAAAAAGCTGTATTCTAGTCCCATCTGTGTGTCAGGGTTAGAACAGGTGAGTAATACCACTGATGGGTACCAGGATCCTCTGTCTCCAATGACTATCCCTGCCAAAGTCAGGGACAGAACCCAGGAGTCCTGGCTCTCCCTCATCCCATGCTCTAGTGACTGCACCACCTGTCTGCCCCACAGGTGGGGGCAGAACCTAGGAGTCTTGGCTCCCCATCACCCTGATCTCTAGCCACCCCCACACTGACTGTCTGTCTGTCTGCCCACCCCAGAGGTGGGGACAGAACCCAGGGCTCTTAGCTCTTCATCACCCCATGCTCTAGCAACTGCACCCCCTGTCTGCCCCACAGGTGGGGACAGAAAAGAACCCAGGAGTCCTGACTCCCCCTGCTCTGCCCCTGACCACGTGCTTCCCATTTTTGCCACAAAATGATGTCTCTTCTGGCACAACCTCGTGGCCCTGTGATGTCATGGCGGGACGTCACCTGATGACATCACCACTCACCAGATGTTACTTTGGAGCGCAGGGGGGAGGGCGGGGCTGACCCCGCCCTCCCCCACTCTCGGGGGGTGCGAAGCTGAGGCGCAGGGAGAGACCGGCCCGACGCCTTTAAATCTTTCCCAGTATGGCCGGTCTCCACGGTTACTGCGGAGGTGATGGTAGCACTCTGGCCCCGCCTCTCCCAGCAGCAAGCCTATCAGGAGGCGCAGGCTGCCAGGTGGGGGCAGGGCTTCAGGGGCCGCGCGAGCCGGCTTGATAAAGGAGCAGCGGCGGCGGCGGGCGCGAGCCCCTGGCCCACGTACCATTGGGCTGCAGCGCGGGGGGTGAAGGCAGCGGGCGGAACCAATCGCATTCCTGCTGGAGGGGTCGGTACCGTTGCGGGAGCGGGAGCGGGGGCGGGAGACGATGGTCTGGCCCCGGGCAGCTGCCGCTGAATGAATGGGGGGGGGAGGGGCGACCCCTTACCGCGGGGCGGGGGGGGTTTGACCCGCTGCTGAGTCTCCTCAGCTCCAGCTCCCTGGGGTCCGCCCCTCCCCCCACCCCAGCGGAGCCGACCCGGCTTTGGGCTGGTCGCCTCCCCCCTCACAGCCGCCTGCCTCCCCCCTCCGCCCCGGGACCCCGCTCTCCCCCCTCCCCCTCGCCAGCGCTGCCGGCGTTTAGTGGCCGCCGCAGTTACTCTTCCCTCCCCGCGAATAGCGCCGGCGGGGGCTGAAACGGGGGGGGCTGAAGGCGGGGGGGCGGATTGCGGCTGGGCGGGAGGGGGGCACGCGCTGGGACTGGGGGAGGGGAGAATTGGAGAGACACCCCCCCCACTTCCCATCCCCCTACAGCGTGGGGGTGAGAGCCAGGACTCCTGGGTTCCCTCAAGCTGTGCGTGGTCTTGAGGGAATTACCCCCCCCCACACACACCCCCCCGTGCTGCTGCTCCCAGGGCGCTGTGAGGGGCGGGGGGGTCTGTGCTCATAGCGCGCTCTGGGAGTCTCCCTGGGATGAAATGGGCTCTAGCAGGAGCCTCCTTTATAAAGTGTTTTGCGATGTACTGATGAAAAGCGCTACCTAGGTGCGAGGGGTTCTACCCTGTTACAGGTGGGGGGAGCGGCCAGGCGGTGAGTTGGGGCCACTTTCGCATGGCCCAGGCGCTAAGGGTTAAGAGGACGTCGTCTTTGTGTTGGCAGGTTGGCCTGGGATTGAGGTTCTTGCACCAACCCGTTTGGGTCCTGCAGCTGCTGAAAGGGTGAAGCAAGACCTATAAATCAGTGGCTGGGCTGCTGCGGGCTGTGCATTGCAGCCTCCGCATAAGCGGGGGCTCTTGCCAAATGCACCTCGTCAAGGCTAGTGTTAACTCAGTGCTTGGCTCTTATGCGCCATGCCAAGGCATTAGAAAGATTCAAATTGCTTTAAAAATTAAAGTGAAAAGCTTGCGGCATCATACGGATGTAGCAGGCACGGCCTTAACAAGGAAGGTAGCCAAAGAGCTGGAAAAAAGCAGTTAGATTAATTCTGACAGTTACTTGTGTTACTCTAAATGCCAACACTGGCAATTTAGAGACTTTGACTTTACAGATAAGTATTATTAATAATACTTAATATTTCTCTAGTGCTTGTCATCCAAGTATCTAACAGCATTTTACAAAATGGAACCTGCTGGTTAAGAATTTAATACTCCATGCAGTTACTGCATTTATAGTCTTTGATCATGAAGGTAATTAGAAGCATCCATTTACTAGAACTTAACCTGGGGGGGGAAATCATACCTAGTTTAGTGAATCATTGTCTGATGCTGTTTTCTTGTATGGATTAGACTGAAATAATTCTGAGTTTTTAAAAATACCTGTTTCTGTAAATTGTCAGTTTAGGCCTATCATCATGACAACAGAAATGAGTTTGTTATTTCTGTATTCTTTAAGTATGCTGTAATTTCTAAAGCAGACCTGAGTGACAGTGGGGCTTTTATGAAAAACATGGCAAATAGTTACAGGTTTTCTTTTTGCCTTACTGTAATATATATATATTTTTTTAAATCATGCTTCAGTTGATTACTGAAGGAATCTAGTTTTCCTCCTTGCTTTCAGCAACCAACTTCGGGTCAAGTGCTGCTTTCCCATGTTGGGGTGGAGGGCATGAAAGGCGCTACTGTAGTTCCTTTCATGCTGAGGGCATGCTGTAGAGAGCCCAAGCAGATGAGCAAAAGACTGCAGAGGAGTAGGTGAAACCATGGTAATTAGCTCTCTCAACTCACAGATCCTTCCAGAGCAGAAGTACGGTAGGAGTCTCCTATACTCAGTTTAAATCAGTTTAATTATGTCGGTCAGAGGTGTGAATAATGCACACCCCTGAGTGGTGTAGTGAAACTGACCTAAGTCCCTGTGTAAACTGCACTAGATCGACAGAAGAATTCTTTGATCAACCTAACAACCACCTCTTGAGGAGGTGGATTACCTGTACTGACAGAAGAATCCCTCCTGTCGGCGTAGGTGGTTTCAATGCTAAAGCGGTACAACGGCGCAACTGTGCCACTGTAGAGTTTTAACTGTAGACAAGCCCTGACAGTCAAATGGAGTGATAGTGTCATCCTTACCATATAGAATAGAATGAACCTGTCCAACTAATTTCCAGTCTGGCCAGAAGTAGATTTTAGATATGGGTCATTGAAACCCCTTCTATCCGAATGTCCCACCACCCACTCCAGAAACAAAAAACAAACACAAAAACCCCAATAACCTTCAAGCAACTTAACAAAGATACCAAAATAGATAGGTACTTCTCTAGTGAACAAAGCCTAATGCTGTAACTCAAGGCTTATAAATACTAGCTAGCAAGAAAAGAATAGTCTCACCAAAAGTAAAGAGACTAAACCATCAATTTCTGAAGAATTTAAACGTTCTTTTAAAATAATTCAGTGTCTGGTCCCTGTAGTTATGAAGGTAATCTTAATGTGACCTAATGCTTCAAAGCTGTGTTCCAAAGTGTGTAGAAACAATTCTTGTGCCTCTGCAGTTGACAAAGAAAGCTGTAAACTGCAGCATATTTAGAACTGTGATTCCTGTCTCTTTCACTGCTACTATTCCAAACCCTATGTATAATACTGAAAATAAAAATCATGTCCATTTCACACTCTTGCTGCAGCAGAAGAGGCAAGCACCAGGGAGCTAGATATTGGGGGGGGGGGCGTGAGGGTAGCAAAATCCCCCTTTTTAATCTTTCTACTGCCTGACCAGGAGGTTGAAGGAGTAGTGGAGAGCTGCCCCTCTCCTCCCTAGAGATAGACTAGTGGAGTTCACCCACATACTCCCTGCTTTAACACACCAGCTCACTTAGTCCTTTTCTCTCAGTATATTTGTATTTTCTAATAGTGAAAGCACAGATTGTGGTGAGTTTCTTCCACCCACTCCTCCAATGACACTGTATATTCTTGGTAAAATGAACATCCTCTAAAATAAGTGTATGCATGAGCGTAGCTGGGTCACACAACAGCTGTACAGCCTACTGAAGCTACAGCTGAGATTTTATGTTCTGGGATTTGACCTTCTTTTTATGCCTTGGGCTTGATTTCCAGTTTAATTTATTGCTGAAGCTTACAAAAACTTTACTTATTACAAATTAAACTCATAAGTTCCCTTATCTTATTTCTTAGAGAACTATACAAATAATTAATATCCAAACTAGGGCTGTCAACAATTAAAAAAATTAATTGTGATTAATACCGAGATTTAAAAAAAAATGGTGATTGATCGCAGTTTTAATCGCACTGTTAAACAATAAATGAATACCATTTATTTAAATATTTTGGATTTTTTCTAGATTTTTAAAATATATTTATTTTAATTACAACCCAGAATACAAAGTGTTCAGTGTTCACTTTATTATTTTTATTACAAATACTTTCACTGTAAAAAAGATAAAAGAAATAGTATTTTTCAATTCACCTCATGCAAGTACTGTAATGCAATCTCCTTGTCGTGAAAGTGCAACTTACAAATGTAGAAGTTTTACATCACTGCACTCAAATAAAACAATATAAAACTTCAGACCCTACAAGTCCACATTTGTAAGTTGCAAGTTGCACTTACACGATAAAGAGATTGCACTACTGTATTTATATGAGGTGAATTGAAAAATACTATTTTTTTAACTGTTTTACAGTGCAAATACTTGTAATAAATAATATAAAGTGAGCACTGTGCACTTTGTATTCTGGGTTGTAATTGAAATTAATATATTTGAAAATGTAGAAAAAATCCAAAATATTTATAGTAAATGTAAACTGGTATTCTGTTGTTGTTTAACAGTGCGATTAATAGTGATTAATTTTTTTAATTGAGTTAATTTGTTTTGAGTTAATCGCTTGAGTTAACTGTGCTTACTTGACAGCCCTAATCCAAACTGATACTGGGGAAAGCAGCCAGCTAACTTATAAACATGTTTTAGTCTTTTATGTCAGCAACAGGTGCTCATGTTACCCTATCAGCACATGTAAAGTTTGTCAGACTCCAGAAAAAGGATTGCAGACTGAAAGATTAACTTGTTAAATTCTTGTCAATTGTGAGGGTATTACATAACTTTTTCACAATCTTATTACAAAACTTGGAAATTCCCTGCTATTCAGCACTGAATTGCTGCTTTGCTTTTTAACACAAGCCTGTTCGCTTTTTATTAATGCTTTGCTCTATCAGTTATTTAAAAGCTATTCTCTTTAAATGTTTTTTTAGTGATGATCGTATGTTGTATACTCCCTTTAGCTAAGAAATCTTGTTACATATTTTCAATATTCTCTACCTATCACCGGTGAAACAAGGTGGGGGAGGTAATATCTTTTATTGGATCTACTTCTGTTGGTGAGAGAGACGAGCTTCGAACTTGAAAGCTTGTCTTTCTCACCATAAGAGGTGGGTCCCTAGTAAAAGATATTACCTCACCCACATGTAGCCTTGTTGGCCACAGGATATTTGAGAAACAACACTGTATGTCATGTGGTGAAGACCTCTTAAATCAAACAAGTGTGATTCTTAGATGTTCCTGATTGCTGTTGATCTCTCCCTCCCTCCCTCTTCCCCTTTCTCTTACGTACAGGCCAACTCCTACTCTTTTTAGGATTTTGATTGGCCTAGCAAAGAGGCAGGACTCTATAAATTCCACACACACACACCCCTTTCCCTTCTGCTAAATCACCAAGAGAAAGAAAGAGGTAAGCTCAGACAGAAGCAAAACAACTCTGATTTATTGTATCATCTTAAATGTTTTTCATTTCATTTTATTAAAAATAAATGCTAAAATTCAGTACACACACTTCTTTGGAGAAGCTCTTTGGTTTTATTTAATTAGGATAGTGAACAAATTGTTGATTCTTTTATTAATTTCCCTCACAAGCTAATATAGTGGATGAGGAGCTTGTCAGAGAATCTAGGTGGCAACAGGTGTTTGACATTTGAAATGAGACAAGAATATTTTCTCTTTGGGTTGGTCAGGATAGAGAAGGCTACCTGAAAAAAGGAGTTTGTTACATTCGTAATAATACTTAGCACCTTCCATCTTCAAAACTACTAATTACTTTAAATGGTAAAGTGATGCGGGTGACTTTAAAATAACATAATAACCGATTTCAAAGTTGCCTTTTCAAATTAAGACCTGGATATTGAGAGAACGGAGTTTGTGCCTCATTAATTTATTGATTTTATTTTATGCCTCTTTTCTGTTAAGTGATGCTACTAATTTATATTGGAGTCATGATGCAGTTTTTGCTGGAAACTGGTTGTGTTGGAAATGTTTTTAAGACAGGTTTCATGGTGGTAGCCGTGTTAGTCTGTATTGGACAGTGATTGCTGTCTGAATTTCCAGCAGGAGCCTTTTGTTCCTTACTATACAAACATTAAGAGTTCATAGAGAAGGGGAGAGGAGAAGTCCTCTTTAATAGCATCTATAAAACCATCTGTGAGGTTACTCTGAGTCAACCTGTCTGGCAGAGAATTGGGATGTGTGGGAGGGAGATGGGAAGGGCTTCAGTGATTTAACTCAACATTTTTCATTAAAACAAAGTATAATTTCAGAATGGATATGTAATGGATACTTGCTGTAGCATGTGTAGGATTTCAGGTAATGCTTAAAAGGGTGGCTTCTGCTGCACTGAGAGTAGTGACCTAGCCTAAGGACCTATATTGGGAGTAAGCATGAGTGGAAAGGCTCAAGTGTAGCTTGACATAAGTAAATGATGGAAGTGACCTTGCGATGTTGCAAGACTGAAGACTGGTGATAAACAAATGAAGTAAATCAGTTGACTAGGATGAAATAAGAAACTGCAAACAAGTTATTGATATTTTAGGGTACTTTTAAGGAGCATATGTAACTGACAATCATAAATATTAACCACAGTAAAGCCATAGCAACTAGTGACACAAATGCTAATGATTGTGAAATAGGTGGATAATTAACCTTTGAAAAGTGAGGACCCTAAATAGTGGAGTGTGGAAGTTCAAATAAGGAGAAAAGGGGTGAATTAATTATGAATAAGCATAGGATAAAATGGGTGTTAGTGTAACATGATATACGAGAGGGTGCACTCAGAACATAGTTGGAAAGAACAGGATGACTAGACAGTAGAAACTGGGATGTACCTATTCTTCTGATTGGGGTTTCACCACAAGGGTAATAAAGATTTGTTATTTCTTGGGGGTCTGCCATCTAATAACTCGCATTTGAGGCTTGTCTAGAGGTGAACGCTAATCAAGTAAATATTAACTATTCAAGTAAATAAAGAAGGCTACAATACTCAGTCTCCCTCCCTGTTTCCTCCCTAGATATAGACAACTCTCTCTCTGACTGGCCTCTAATTGAGCATGGACTACATGCACTGCGTGCCATTTTTGTTATGAAACAGTATTTGATTGTAAAGCAATTAGGTTAATTGTGTAGACTCTATAAATAGGGCTCTGATTTTTGGCTTTAGCCAATAAAGACACAAAATCCTAATAAAAACAGATTTTTGTTAAACACCAGAAAAATACTGGAAATGGTATCTTGTGCCTAAGGACTTGTCTACAGGGAGCAATAATGCAGTCTGTGGGGGGTGATATTTAGTTCACTAATGTGTTGCATGTTAATTGGTCCATGTAGATCCTATTAGTGTGCACTAAAGGCTCCCTAGTGTGCTTTAACGTAGTGTTTGAAACAATATTATGTTAAAGCATACTAGGGTATGTTACTTATTACCATATATTCAAAGCGGGAGCTCCCTCAAAGCCCCCAATTTTGCACATCTGCATAAAACTAAAAAATGCTTTAAAAAAAAAAAAAAAAAAAAACACTGAAAAAAGGGATTTAATAAACCCTGGAAACAGAAACCTTATGTATACTAAATCATTCTGCTTTTTGCTTGCTTCTCTGGTTCCATTCATTCTGTAAATAGTGTGTGTTTGGGGACAGTGAGGTTCCACAGTTGATTTACTGCAATTTCCACTGATGTAATTGCTTCTTCTTGATGCAATGTTAAGAAAAGCTAGGCCATGAGAATTTTAATGTTGACTTGACTTTAGGTAAGCTCTAGAATGTATCCATTTAACCCATGTAGTGACAGCTTCCAGTCATAGTAGTAGGTACTGTTGGTTTTTGAGCTTGTGCCTCCATTTGCTGTAGGAATCGTGATTTCTGATGCTCACCACAAAAGGGACTGAGGCAGAAAGTTGAAATGACACCACCCTGGGTTCTCACTGTCTGCTACACTGGACTCTTTATACTTGTGAATATTTTCTGCTCATGCTCATGCTACCCTTATTCATTCTATTTCATATGCTGCATAGAGCAGGTCATGGCACTGGTTCAGGTTTCAGTACTTCAGACAGAACTGGGGTTGCATAAAACTTTCCTTAAATGCAGACTGTTCTACACAGTTCTAAATGTTGAGAAACTCTGTTTGTTTTTAAAGAATAATTTGTGACTAATACTTTCCCTCTTCTCACAGCATATTTAAGACAAAAATGGCAATTGTAAAGAACTTGAGCAGAACCCTTAGTCAGTTGCTACAGAGTCCCGGTTGTGGATGTCAGACTTCCATTGTGCCAGTTAGATGTATTGGTGTCTCACCACGTCAGGTGACCTCAGATGCCAGCTTTCATTCAGTATCTTTTTCAGAGACTGATCATCCTCGAGTGTTAATTACAGGTTAGTCATCACTTAATGACTTCATTCTTATTTTTGTTTCTCAGTTGGCAGTCATTTTTTTTCTACTGAGGCCTGATCCTGAGAGTTGCTGAGCGTCTACAAATTCCATGTAAACAACCAGGAGTTTTGAGTATTCATCATCTCTCTAGATCTACTATTATTATGTATTATTTTGTATTGCAGAGGTACCTGATGCCCCCAGTTAGGATTAGCACTATATTGCAGTATTGTTGGCCAGTTTATTTTAGAGCTATAGTAAAAGCATCCCTTTCTCTTAAAACAGCACATTAAGTTTCTTAGTTCTGTGTAAACAAACTTCTATCTTGGTTCCCATAACAATGTAGTTGAAGTATTAAGTTTTGAACTTCTATTGGTCTATAAGGACACATAAGTAACAGTCAATATTTTGATATCATTATCTTTTCTTTGACTTGGCTTTTGTTTTTACAATCTCTCTTTTCCTCTTTAGGGGGCCTGGGCCAACTTGGGGTGGGACTCGCTAAACTCTTGAGGTATGTTACGATTTTGTAATTTTATACATAGTAAGAAGTTAAAAACCCCACGATCAAGATTTTCAGAAGTGACTAGTTACGTTGAGTGTCTCAAGTTGAGCATCCAAAATCTTATGAAAACTGTAGCTAAGAATCTTAGAATGCTGAATGGGACATTTAAAAGTCCATATTTTAAAATATCCTTAGAATTGCTGCTATTACTTCAGAAATCCAAGATGTAATTAAGATTCAAAACATAATTTTACACCTTTTGTGTTGTTTGTTCTTAGCTCTTTCACTTAGTTTAGAGCTGAAAAATGACCAGTCATCCTTCCTTTTGTTGGTATTTTTGGCCTTAGTCCTGCAAATGCATGTAATTTTGTACATGTCACTTGTCATTGGGTTTAATGAAACCACTTGGGTGCATAAAGTTAAGCATATATTTTAAGAATTAAGGCCTTAGCTTGTGGTAAGTTTCCCTTTGTTTTTCATGCACTATCACAATGCTGCTGGGTTTGAGTTCCCAATACCTCAGGCAAATGTTTAATTTGTATATCTCTTTTCATGATCTCTTTGATTAACAACAATTCGGTTGATATTAAATTTTTTAGAGAACCACTTTGGGTTTTCTAAAACCCACCAACTTACTAAACACCTAAACTTTTGGACCTTGCCATAACTGATAGTATTTCTTGAAGAGAATTTCAGTGATAAAGTTTTCTATCTAAGTTACTATCTCTTATAGTGCAGTAGCTGCATCATAGTTAAGGATAACAGGAATGTTAAGATTTTATTTCCCAATGGAATGGGCAAGAAACCATAAGATATATACTTTGATATTATTTTAATTTTTCATGGTAGTTTTATGTAAAGTGAATTGATGCAGAGAGAATAATAAGAGCATAAAATGATCCATTCTGGCACTTTTTCACTGGATTATCTCACTTTTTTTCTTTGTATTTCTTTCACAAGAAATCTAAAACATTCTAGGAGCTGTCCTTCATCCACATTCTTGATCTCATGTGCTGCTTCCTAGATATCAGCTATACATAGAAGTAGTATTTGTCTATAGAGCATTTTAGCCATAATGGGAGCACCAAAACAAATCCTCCAAATTTGATGAGGACAGTGTGGTGGTCTGAATGCTGTTGGGGGGTGGGGGGAAGGGGAAGTGGCTTTCACTTCCATCTTCAACAGATACCAGAAAACAATA